GGGGCTGAAACGCATGGCTGCAGGGCCCAGGTGGGGAGCAGGACTCATGTGGGGCCATGGGTGGCTCATCCACAGGGGAGTGGCTCCCCACTGCTGTGTGCACCCCTGGAGGAGGCATGTGACTCCCAGATTTGTGCGTGGGGTGGGCGGCCCTCTGCAGGCTTGGGCTCCCCACCCCGCTGCCCTCCACCTAGGGCCTCAGTGGCCCATCTAGCACGGCAGGGCACAGCAGGGTGGGGAAATGTAGTGCACGGCACCGCCATGGCAAGGTGCCCCCTGCCCATACGGCAGCAGCGGGGGGGTGGTGCACAGTTGTACCCTTTGCTGCTGCTGAGCGGGCATGGTGCACCCCACCATGGCAGTGCAGGGCTCATGGCAGCGGCATGAGCTTCCCTGCCCAGTCCTGCTCTGCCCTACCACGCCAGGTCTCACAGAGGCCCCAGGGGGAAGGTAGCAAGGCAGGGAGCCCTGAGCCTGCAGCAGGCAGCCTGCATCCACCCCCCCATGGGCTCCACTCTGGCCATGCTGCCCATGGGGGAGGGTGAGCTGGGCTCTGCTCTCTGCTACACTGCAGCAGCTGCCACCTCCTACGGGGAGTAGCTGGGGTTTGAGCACTGCTGCGGGGGGCAGGGGGCTGCAGACCCAGGTCCCTGTCCCCGTACCCCTGGCAGCTGGGGGCCCCCTCCAGCAGGGCTGGTGAGAAGTGCGGGGTTGTGGGTGGCGAGTGAGGGGCAATGGCATGGGCAGGGCACTGGCATATCAGGGTTGCTCAGTGCCACAAAGCAGTGTGGCAGGAGAGGGGGGCAGCTGCAGCTAGACCCATGTCCTGGTGAGTGAAGGGGGCAGAAGGAGCCCTGATTTTCCATGATAAAAACCCAAAATCAAATGCCAAAATGTATCAGTATTTACAATTTATTTTATTATAGTGATTGAGGCATTGGCAGGCTTCCAAATTGCTTTAAAATGGTAAATATATCAATAAAACATTGGGTTCAACTGATACCTATATATATATTAGCGTTTCATTTTGATCATGGAAAAACCATGGATTTGGGGGGTTTTAATGAGAGAATTTGCAAATCTTTTGTCTTTGCTTTATCAGAGAATGTGTGATTTTTAAACAGACAAAACCAGGACCCCTGGGGATCGGTGACTTACAGACGTTTCTTTTGCTCTTGGAGTCAGTGACTCCCAAACCCACTAAGGGTCTTCAAAAGCTGAATCCTAACCCTCATGACATTCACCCTTTCCATGTTGCCAACTGCTGAAACTTCTTTAGCCTGATGAAGGGTTTTTGAACCCGAAAGCTTGCTTAATAATTGTTTTCCAGCTATTTAAGTTGGTCTAATAAAAGATATCAGATTCACCCAAAGAACCTTGTCACCCTTTCCATGACATTTCTCAGCAAATTTTACATATATACAAGCAAACGAGCAGTCTTGCCAGTACCACCAAAGCACATTCATAGGGCTTCTTTTGACGAATGTTCATAATTGTTTTTCTTGAAGTGCACTTCTAGCAATGATCTAGTCCTAGCATCTGATGAAGTGGGCTGTTGCCTACAAAAGCTCATACATCTCTCAACCAGCGCATTTGTATGTGCCACCCTGCCTTATCTTCTATTTGACTTCATGCTAATGTGGCTAACCACCTTCAAGCCTCAGAATCACCTAAAGTGACTTAAGAGCCCAAGTCCCAATTGCTAAGGAGATTTAGGTGCTTAGGTGTGTGTCTTTCAAAATCAATGGGACCTTCATCTCCTCAGCCCCCACGGCCCTTTTAGCTGCTAGTTTTGGTTGCCTATCCTATTTAAACAACTTTCCAGAGTGATATGACTCAGCACGGAGATGCATTTCCTGTGATTCAGATGAGTTTCAAAAGTCCCCATTCATCCTTCCAGCATTTACTAAAGTACGACTAAAGCTCATCCTGCCCACCCCATGTTATCAGCTGCTGGACAGTAATCCAAGTGCTATGGGAAGTTTCTACCACGGCTCGTCACTGGGTCTAGTGCCATTTGTGAGAAAGAAGTTATTTTTCTAATCTTTATGATTAATTCTTTGGAGATTTCCTACACACTTCACTTAACACCAGTAACCAGAGCCAGGTTTTCAGTTCCCATTTAGACACCTAAGTATTTGGCCAGATTTTCAACAGAACTCAGCACTGGGAATCTGCACGGAGAGTGCGTCTGTCACAATTATCCAGGTTTTCCAACTCAACCAGTCCAAAAAAAAAAAAAAAAAAGCTGGCAAATCAAATTAATTTATTTACATATTTTTATATGTAATATTTGAACAGCCTTCAAAAATGTCTATGGTCTGGACTTTTCATGTGAAGTTATAATATTTGCATGGGAAATATTGATCAGAAAGATTTTTTTCTTACAAAATTTCCTGAGAATAATAATCAGCATGTTTCCAGCCAGCTCTGCCCTCCTGGAAATCTGATCCTGACTGTGGGGGGCTGCAGAGCTTTGAAAATCTGGCTTGGTTACTCCCTCTCCAGCTTGCCTGTCTACCACACACTGCTGCCATCACACTATTGGCTTGGCTACCAAGTTATTCTGGCTGAGTCGTGGGTGCATGGACACTGACTTAAGTCATCAGTTCCCAAACAAGGCATTGGAAGGGATTCAATTCAGCAGACAGGGTCTGGCCAGAAGTGCAAGCCAATCAGGAAGTGGGATAGCAAGCCTGGAAGTGGGGTCTGGGGCCCAAAAGACTAGACACAACTGATCTAAGCAATTCATTCACAAAGCCAAGTTCAAAAGCATGCATTGACTTTTGAGAGCTCCCCCTTTTCTATGCACACCCTCTTCCCTTTCATCCACTTTGTGTGCAGGAGAAGGGACTTGGGACTTGCATTCAGTGTGTAAGGTCTATGCCAGGCACAGGCTCCACTCACATTTGTGCCATACAACTGCTTCATGCAGCTTTCTGCCATGAACTCAAGGGGTGCACCTACATATAAAATTAACATGGCTGAATAAACTCCAGCGCAGTTGGCACTGGAGTTTATTGCTCCCAAGCACAGCATTTACACATGCGCCTGGGACTGCAGCACATTGAGCCTGGGTGGCACAGCCCCGGCTAGCAGGGGGGTCCGGGATGCCAGCCTGCCAGCCAAGGGCTGCTCCAACCCAGCTCAATGTGCTGTGGAGGGTCTGGCTGGGCCACAAAGGTGCTTCAGTGAGGGGCTAGCCAGCAGGCAGCTCCCACCCTGAATCGCCCTTGTGTCCCAGCCAGCCCCAGTCACCATATACACGTGTGTTGCGGTGGAGTACATAACTCCACTGTAGGATAACACTTGTGTCTGGGAATACTATTCTATGGCAGAGTTAATTAGTCTACTTCATCCTAATAGCACTGCACGCGCAGACAGTGATGCTTACTCCAGAGATAATTAGTCAGTTCTGCAGTAAATGCCTTGTGTAGCTGTGCCCAAGGACTTGCAAGACTAGGGTTTTAAGCTTTAAATAGCAAGCAAAAAGATTTAGAGGGTTTCTAGGACTATTCCATGCAATGGGTGGGTATATACCTGCTCTGGCAGTAGTACATTGCATCAGTAGTCTTATTATTATTATTATGATTTATGTCCTGCTCTATCCAGGATACACGTGAAACTTAGGTCCTTATTGGAAACAGCAAAAGATGCTTCCTTTCACACGACAGTGGCATGGGACTTCCAACTCCAACTCCTTTAGGAGAAGCTCGACCTCAACTCCCAATGTCCATTCAGAATCCCAAACTGTATACAGTGAAACAGGCAGTTAGGACCCTACCACCCACAGGCACTAGCAGATCAAATACAATCACCATAAACCGTCCTGATCTTTACCTTAGATGACTGGGATTAGTGCTAGGGTTAAATTATGCAATTTAGGGAGAAGGCAATGGTATCTTTGCATATATTTGCACAGCATCTGGTATAAAGGAGCCCTTATCCTGAGTGGGACCTCTGGGATTGTTTCATAATAGGAAAAAAGACACAAAACAGCAGCCTACTTACGCTATAGGTTATAGACAACTGTATCAACCTTCGAGGATAGGTCTGCATGGTTCTGCAGGGATGCAAATAGGGATGATCTAGTTGGGGCAGGTCCTGCTTTGAGCAGGGAGTTGGACTAACCTCTGAGTCCAACCCCTTGCTCAAAGCAGGACCAGCCCCAACTAGAGGTGACCTCCTGAGGTCCTTTCCAACCCTAATTTTCCATGGTTCTATGAAATATAGGAAAACCATGCCTCCCCTTTTAGAGTGGTTAAAAATGTATGTTTGTCCAAGCTCTGAGACATCCTGGAGCTTGTAAATTCAAATCCCAGCAAGCCGAGGAATGAAATAGCTGTAGCTGGAGTGCAAAATCTAATTAAATGCATGTTCATGTTTGAATCCTGATGTGAATGCTCTCAAAAGGTAATCATCTATTACCTCCCGCCTATTGCCTTTCATCCTGAGGATGCACCATAAACTCAAACTGACATGCAAGCAATGTGTGTGGGTCACTTCACCCATGACTGAAGCGTGGCCAGCTTCACGACAGAACGTAACAGCTGTCTAACATGACGCAGCAAGAGTTTAGGGCAGGGAGTGAATGTGCATGCAACAAAAACTGCAGAGGGGATTTTAGAGGGGCAGAATATTGTTACTGGAGCAGAAGCTTGGCACGGATGTGATCATTAACTCTTCAGAAAGTGTCATGGGATTATGAATGACCACAAGCAGCTCTGACTGGTTTTTCATCTCAGCTGAAAGACAGCAGCTCCGGTACCATGTTGGGGCACTGTTGGTGGGGCATTCACACTCCTCCAACCCTTCCTACAGCACCTTGGATCTTCATTGTAGGTCTCCCATCCTAGGCTGTGAACCAGCTGGATCCTTCTGAGCTTATGAAATCTGAGGGACTCACATGCAGACTTGCTGACTAATAAAGATTTCACTGACCTACTTGCCCCCCACCATCCAGAATTCAAACCACGCCGTCAGCGAGGACAATTTATTACCTGCACAAGAAGTTCCAGCTTCCTGTCATCGAGGAGATGCACTTGACATCGGCGGCCCTCCGTCATCTGCAAGAGAGAGGACAGACATGCGTTTCAGGGTGCTTAATTTACAGGGCTGGCAACTGCCACTACCATGTTGTGGCTCTGCTCTCTCAAAACCCCATCCAAGCCGAGGGTTTCATTCACAGTTTTCCCTTCCCTGGCACCAGGAAAAGAAAAGGTTGGAAAGAGAAAAAGAAAAAACACTCTCGCAGCTGTCACCAAACAGCACGCGGCCCCTGCTTTGACTCAGCCACAGAAGGGAGAGCGTTCCAGTGTGAAAAACGAGCCTGGGGCAGAAGGTGACTAAGGGAGGCTGTTTCCCGTATGCAGGCTGATGGAGATGGCCCTGACACTTCCCACCTCGGCCCCCATCCATGCAGCTGCCCTTCGCCAACGTGGCAACACCAGAGAAAATCCCTGTCCATATTTCAAGGGAACGTTCAACACTTGACAGGTAAAGATTCAAACATACCTGAAATTACCCCAAGGATTCAGGTGGCCCTTTTCTACCTAAGTATGTCTATACTAGAAAACTATACAGACTTAAATACTGATATAGCTAATGTTAACAGACATGGTTATAGCAGAATGCTTTTAAACACAGACAAGGTCTCTTACAGTCACCTAGATTGTGGCAGCAATGAAATGCATGAGATATGTTTCCCTGAATGATGGAAGCAATCCCCAAGGTCAGCCAAGAGTTAGAGACCAGTGCTTACGTGGCACCATAACCAAAAGTTATATTAGATATTCAGGCTCTGATTTATCGAGTGACTTAAGCGTATGCATAACTTTACATATGTAAATAATCCTATTCGCAGTCAAGGGGAAGTGTATCCCAAGGCAACCTATGTTCTTATGAAACTCTCCTGCCCATACTGTCAGCATATGACCAGGAAGTGAGAGAGTGTTTTGGTCACTCCTAATAAAGTCAAGAAAAGTTTTGCTGGGATAACCCTGCAGTGCATTTGAAAGGTTTAAATTTTAAGGGGAATATTCAGAATTAAGATGTTGGCTAACTAAGTTACAGTTATGCAACTCACAAAGACACTCTCATGGACCCAGAAGAACAAACTTCCATCTTCAGCTTTCTTTGGGCAAAAATGAAGTTTATTTCCTACCTGGGCGGACTTTTTACCATCTTTAACTTTCCCTGAGCCCGAGGAAAGGTGCGTGAGTCTGAAAGCTTGCAGAAAAAGATCATTTTTTTGCGATTTCCTAGTTGGTCTAATAAAAGGTATCATCTCTGAACAAGATTCTGGAGTTTTGCATTTCTAGTTAATGAAGTACAGCTTTGTCTGTAGACCTGAGTCATCTGGATTGCAGATTCAGAATCATACATTGCTCCAGTTTAACAAAATTTAACACCCGAGGTGAGTTTTATTAGAGGCTGCATTAACCAACAAAATATTTCCCTTTCAGGTACCACCAACCCATGTAATATTTATGAACCTGGGCATGTATAAATATCACTCTGATCCCTGCAGGCTTTGTCTGTGTTGCTAGTTATACCAAAATATTTTTTGAATACCCAACAATGCTAAATAATACCGCTTTCCTTTGCATATTCAGCTGCTTAGGCACAATTGAAGCTCTGGCATTCAAATCAAAGGAAATCCTTTGTAAAACAAGACTTCTCATAAATGTCAACTGGTTACTACCGCAGCAATAAATTGTCCTGCTACAAGATATTTCTAAGGTAAGTAATGGCATGTAAAGTATTGCTTTACATAGGGCATATTACTTGGTGAGTGAGATTTCCACCATAAACCCTCTTTGTATTTAAATGGCTTTCAACTCAGCTGTAAAGATATGCTCTAAGCGTGCTGTCCAAGGCCCCAGAAAAGGGACTTTATACATCTAGAGCACCTTTTCATCACAGATCCCCTAAGCCTTATGCAGTATTCTAAGGGTATCTCCGCTGTCATAAAATGCTTCTATTTAAATGTTACAGACAACTTAACGGATGAGACTAGATTCAGTTTCTTAGAGAACTCCTAAATGCTCTTTTTGTCTTCCAATACTTCCTGCCAGACACCAACAGAGCTCACAAGATAGAAATCCATGCTTATTCACCATTGGGGCATAGTCCTAAGGCAGGGGTAGGCAATGTTTTTTGGCCAGAGTGCCGGAAAACACCACAATGCCTACCTTGGAAGGTGCCGCAGTGCCGGCATGCCAGAAAAACAAAATGGGGGGGGCGGAGGGTACATAGCAGGACGTACTGCATACTAGTATATTTAATAATCATAAATGTTGCCTTTGTTGTTGTGTGTTCCTTTTTTGTTAAGCATGTTGTCGTGAGAGAGAGAGAAAAAGAGAGAAATAAGAGAAAGAGGAGAGAGAGAGAAAGAGAAAGAAAAAGGAGAAAGAAAGAAGAAGGAGAGTAGAGACACACACACACACACACAGACCCCCCCACCCCTACCACATGTGAGCAAACACAGAGAACCAGAACACACCCAGAACCAGACCTGTGCACACACAGACACGCAGAACCAGATGTGCGGGCGCACAGAACCAGGCTGCTGGGCCACCGGACAAAGTCTGACCCGGCAATGCCCTAGGACCGCCTGAGCCCCTGTGCTTCCCCCGGGAGCCAACCCCCCGGGCTGCCGCGTGGCCAGCTGAGGCCCCAGCCCAGAGCCTGCCCATCAGCCCAACCACCCACTTACCCACCCCACACAGCTGGTAGGACCATTCAGGACATCTAAACCGTTATCCCCAGAGAGGCTGGGAGAGCACACAATGGCAGATCCCCACCGCAGTCCCTCCACCCTGGTGCCAAGGCAGCTGGTGTAGGGGAGCATCAAGGAGTGCTTTCCACCAGGAAAGCAAACCAGACTGGCTCTGGACTGATAGTGCTGGCTATCCATAACACCCCACTGGGTCCAGGGCATTGCTCTGGGGTCAGGCCAGTGCAGCAGGGGAGGGGAGAGCTGGGCTGGAGCTGGGGAGTCTGTCCTTGTACCCTGAAGGGCTGAGCTGCCCTGCTGTCCACTCTGAGGTGCACATGCAGTCACCGCGAGAGATGATGCTGGAGCTGTGCAGCCCTGCGCAGCTGTTTGCAGCCTGCCTGTTGCTTGCTGCAGCTGCCCAGAGCCCAGGCTGGCTACAAACAGCTGCACCAGGCTCCAGAGCCCAGTCACTAACTCTGTGCCGGGAGCAGGGGAGAGGCCGGGGTTGCACTGCCTCAGCCTCCTCCCACCGCCCACTCCAAGGTGCGGGTGCACGTGCTGGTACTGGTACAGAGCTGATGCCAAAGCCTGGTGCAGCTATTTGCATCCTCCTGGCTGCAGCTGGCCCCGGCTCTGGGTAGCTGCTGCCAATCATGGAGCCCGGGCTGCTCCCAGCAGGGCTTGCAGCCTCCACCTGCGGGGAACACCCTGGGCTTCGTGGCTGGCAGCAGCTACCCAGAGTTGGGGCTGGCAGTGGCGTGCCAAGCAAAATGGCTTTGTGTGCCATACTTGGCATGCATGCCGGGGGTTGCTGACCCCTGTCCTAAGGCTTCTGATAGGGTAATTGAGACAGAAAGCTGGTAAGTGACTTGGCCAGGGCCATGCCATGAAGCAGTGGCAGAGACCACCCAATTCTCCTGAGTTGCAGTGGGTGACTCACTCTCATTAGGGCACAAAAGCACATTTTAAAATGAAAAAGCAGTACCCAAACACAAAGGGAGGAAGGGTTAAAGCTGCAGATATTTTTGGGTCTGCACTCTTATATTTCAAAGAAGGCTCAGTTTGCAACTTGAAGCTTGGGAGTTTTCTACTCCATAATTTTGTAACCTCCTAGTTAGTGCTTTTGTTACTTCAAAGAAAACCTGCCTAAATGGAAACAGATGGTAGATAAAGCTCAAAAATAAAAATATAAAGCTGCTGAGCTATACTGCATGGCACAGAATTTTGCCCATGTACAAAGTGCTGTGAATATTGTTATCATCTGCAGAGACAGGGGAAAGGCAGGAAAAATCTCATCTGTCTGTCTTTGGTTTCTTTACTGCTGCACATCACCGGAGTATCTGAGTGTGTCACATTATACTAGTGGACTTCAAGAGACATGTGATAATATCTATAAAATGTTATTATAGTGCACGTGTGCATGTGAAGGTAAGTGTAAGTTCTTTTACAGCCCATACACAAATTTGGTATGGGTCCCCCTCCCATGTTAAGATTTATATCAGAGCATATAATAGCTAATGTACATGCATACTGTTTTCCTGGACTGAATCCCAGATTTTGGCTGTGTCTCATTAAGCCTTTTATTGCTACCAAAACCACGCAGATATCCCATCAGCTCAGATGGGAAGGAGTCTGTGGAGCAAAAAGATGGGAACTCAACCCCTCCTGTTGTCTGGAAACTCAGAGCAGCCCTGGAGTGCGGCGCTGCGGCAGCTGCGAGGTCTCCGCATGGCCAGAGGTCCGTTACAGGCTCTACCCCATAACACACTATGCTTGGATAACGAGTGCCTTGCTCTTGCCTAAAACTGCAGATACTGGCTATCAGAGAAGACAGGGTTAGCAGGCTAGAG